CGCTTAGGCCCTGGGCACAATAGAAGGAATAAGGAATTAAGAATAAAAAATAAACGATTTCAACCTATCAGAAACCGTGTATTTCGATGTATCTGATTTCTAATAGGTTAGAATCATTCATTTTTCATTCCTAATTCCTTATTCCTTTTATTGTGCGCAGGGCCTTACGCACACACAAACAAACACATATAACCTAAGAATAAAGACGTTATTTTTTGACATCATGCTCACAGTAACAGGAAGATGTAAATTATCATTAAAACTGCATGAAGAATGAAGCATTCTTCATATAAAATTGGTATACCTATCATGCAAACTGCAAGAACGGTGTAGTGGAACAAAAGCGACATCTCGATCAAACTAATTCAAATGATCACTTTTGCCCACGCTTTTTAACGGCCTTATCCACGTAAGTTCGTAGTCTAGGCTTAAATGTAATGCGAAGGAATAGCGATAGCAATAGGAATAACACGATTTCAACCTATCAGAAAGTGTTATATTCCAGTGTATCTGGTTTCTGATAGGTTGAAATTGTGTTATTCCTGTCGCTATCGCTATTCCTTCGCATTGTGTTTCAGGTTTTAGTCTCCTCCATAGTTTCGCGTAAAGATACACGGCCGATCTTGCGCTTTGATATCGCTGCATTTGCTCTTAGCGCGAGACACTGGCTATGTTTACACCGTGCACTTAGTCCGCGGCCTATATCCCAAATTCGATCTAAATTATTTAGGTATTCCAGTAGTGCTATAAATACTTGGTAGATGACCCGAGCTTTAGATCAAATCTTGTTTTTTAGGGGTCTGACCTAAAATAGGTCTGCTTTCTCGGTAAACGCGCAAGATTTGTACAAAACACGAGATGACTCCAGGTAATTCGAACCAATGTGGACTAAATACGACTCCGTCAATTTTTAAGTCTGTTTCAGTGTAAACGTTGGATAATTAGACCTATTTTGGGTCACGATATAGGTCGAGTCGCTATCAGGTCGCTGGGTATAAACGTAGCCAGTGATAAAGATAGAATGAAACTTACAGCTCGTGAGCCCAAACCGAATGCAGCCAGTATGATACTATGCATGTACATATTATATTTAATGCACATTTGCATTAAATTTCATACACATATATACATTCCGTGCATGTGTACACTGATATAGTTTCAGTCTCTGTGTTGAAATATCATATATATGAACACTAAATTTCCTAAAACTTATATGTACACTGTTAAACATTTCATGAAATTTAATATACTTTTAAGTTAAATAATTTGAATTTAAATTTATGATATATTAAATTTAATATATTTATAACTGAAGAGAGTATATTTGTGTACATGTACATGAAATTTAATGTATCTTTCACGAAAATTTATGAAATTTAAGACATACGTTTATTACATTTAAGTAACTACTGTAACTTAATTTTCAATTAAATCATTCATTACTTTTAATTTTGTTCATAACTACGAGCTTCATTTATATGTAAAGGGAGCATTTCTAATAGTGTAAAATACACTAAATTGTATGCAAATGTACACAAATATACTTTTTAATTGCATATAAAAGTACATTAAATTTCATTTTTTTTTAACAGTGTGTAATTAAATCTGTTAAACAGAAAGAAGTTGAAAAAGAGTTTTAGTCAAATGTATCATTTTTTAAAATATTTTTTTAAAAATTATTTTGTAAAAATAATACACTTGGATTTACAATGTAGCGGTTATCTACGAGAGTTTACACTGTAACCAAATATACACGCATTAACACATCAAAAAATGACACCCCGGAAAAATGTAGCGATAAAACGATGCGATAGTTTCACCGAAGTGTATCTCGAGACGTAAATAATAACATCACATAATAAAGCAAGCGAAAAACTTCGATCATTCACTTTGTGTAGTGCTCTGATTAATAACGTCGTTTAACATATTTAATTGTATTAAAACTGTATTATTTAGTCGTGCTAAATAATATTATTAATAATATAAGAAATATGTAAGAAAAATTTTAGCTAAAATAACATTCTTCGATAGTGCAGACGCGATACGGCAAAATACACTAAACCGCCATGCTAACGATGCGTCATTCTTCCCCTCGCTGCGCCACCGCCGTCGAATGATGAGTATGCGCTATTATGGGATGCGGAACTGCGGAACATTCGTGATTAATCATGGCTTTATTCTGCTGATTCCTATTGCGCAAATTTATTTCTTTTGCGGATTCCGCCGATGTCTGCGTGTATGTGTGTGTGTATGTACATATACTTATAAAAACTAACCAAGTTAAACTGGTTTAAACGGAGAAAACTATCTCTTAGTAAGGTCGGAATCCGACTATGTGTTGAAGATTGAGATTAAAGATTAAAGATTTAAATTTCACTAATGAGAACAAAGAAATTGTGGCTCCTTTTGTTCTGATTAGTCAAACATCAATCTTTTAATCTTCAATCTCATTCTTCAATGCGTAGTCTGATTCCGGCCTTACAAAAGCGCATGTTGGTTAATCAACATGCGGAGGCGTTTTTGGATTCCTACCCGGGTGTTCTCATGTCATTCTTGTTTAACATTTGGTAAATTATAAGAATGGAGTGATACCTCGATGGCACTCGGATAGGAATCTGAACATAACCCTGAAGGTAATTAATTAAGTCTCTAGATAAATACGGAGGTCAATATGATCAAAACACGAAATATCGTATAAATAATATACAGAAGAGCGAAAATGTAAATCAAAATTTAAATGGGTACACAAAACGAAGTCGGGTCAATGTCCCTGTATATATGTGTGATTTCTGATTCGCAGGAATTCATTTTCCTATGTCCCATTAAGCGGAACTTGCGGATGCGCAATCAATGCGAGCCAATGACAAACGCTATTCTAGTAGATCTAATGAAAGTATCTATGAGAAGATTCTTACAATTGGTCAGAGCTAATTGCGCATTCCGCAAATTCCGCTCAATGGGACACATAAGACAACACATTTTAGCAAAATGGAATCGGTAGAATAAAGTCACGACCAATCACAAACATTCCGCAGTTCCGCATCCCTTGGGAGCGCACCTTGAGGCGCGACAGACCGAGCTACAAATTCGCACGACGCGGCGCGGCGTCACTGCACATTGGCTTAGGCCCGTTTGCATCAACGTTACTTTGACCTTAAGCGAAACTTAAAACTCCATCTGTCTCGTTTTAAAGAGACAGATAAAAGAGACAGATAGACAGAGTTTAAACCTTGTTTAAAATCAAAGTAACATTGGTGCAATCAGGCTTTAGACATTTTATCTTTTAATTCGAAAATTACAACGAATATCTCAAAATGATGCAATATTTTTTTTATTCTCCTCCACGTTCTCCATGTGACTCGTATTCAATTTCTGGGACACCCGAATACTCAGTTACGGTATAATAATTCATTCATAGTAGTAATATACACAATGAAGTAATGTACGTAGAAGTGAAACTAGAATAGATCGTCTGACAAAGAGATATAATTATATCAGTTATACAAACTATACGTTAAGCGTAATTTTTTTCGGTTGTTAAGTGTATGGAACAAAAAGTAGAGAAACGACATAGTACAAATTTTAAAGAGAGAAGGATGACAAACTGAGCGCATCATGTAATATTCTCACCACTTTAGATACATTTTCTTTAGCACTTAATTATTATCTTTGGAGCAATGAGCTCTACAATATACTGAAGCATCGAGAAAAGGGGATACCTCAATTTCTAGACAATTCTAATGCAGAGATTGTACTGTATTTCTTTATTAGAGACTCACTAATTGGCTAATGCTGTTTGAAGGAAAGAGAAAGACAAGTATTTGTTTTTCTTCCTTTTCTCCGTTAGATCACAACTTTTTGTAGTATACGCTGCACGTATTTATAGTCAATTTTTATATTTAAGATCGTCTTAATGTCATGAACCAATTAGACAAACATATTAGCATATTAAGTTATTATACTTAAGATGATTTTAACGCGTATGAATACCGGCCTTAGTGTAGCACTTAAGGTGCCGTCCCATGGATACAGAGAATGAAATCGGAAAAGTGAAATGATAGGGCATACCGATCAGCATTGTTCCGTTTTGATTTTAAGTGGCTTAACTCTCCATAGGGCTCTCCATATTTTTCGCAAACACAGAATGACATTCTAACTTTATATTAAAAACGGTATATTTATTACATTTTGTTTATAAATATTTTTTTATTCATAAATTGTTAATATGTTCATGTGTGAAGATATTCAATCAATATATTGCATTTTCCATATCAATATATTGCATTTCTTTTATTAAATTATTACTTGTTCCTTACAAGCACCATTCATTCCTTTTTAAATATTGGACGTACTCAAAATTTCACCTTTCAGATTTCGTTTTCCAATTCCATTTTCCGTGACCATGAGACGATACACAAAAAGTGTGTTAGTTTAGGAAAAAGCAGCACATTACAGAACTTATTGGCATTAAGCAGCGATTTTCGTTTTTCAGATTTTTGCTTTTTTGTACAAAAGGCGTTAAATGAATGTATCTGTATCTATATATGAAATGAAAAACATAGCATTTATCTTATGATATGTAAAATAATAACCTCTGTTACACGGCACGCTTAATCAGATTTAATAACATCCGTAGTTATAAAATTAGTCAACTGTAGCTATTTCTCGGAAAAATGGAATGACTGTGATTGGCCAGTTTCATAATTACGGATATTATTAAACCCAATGAAGGGTGCCGTGTAAATGTAGTCATTGACATGCATAAAAAATCAATTTTTTGTAGAGTTCATACTCATAAAATACAAGCAAAACATCTATAATATCCATGTTACTAAAACCGCAAATTATTTTTAACATTGTCATAGATTTAACTTTTTAATTTATATTGATGGGCTGATATTTTTTATTGCGTATTCTATATTATTAAATTTTAGACCACTTTTTAAAAATCTTGTAGAATTATTTGTATATGCGGATGCATATTATGATGCAAATTGCAGGCGTCACCGTCATACCAGCAGACAGCTATACGATGCCGATAGTCTACGCGATCGGCAGTATCTTGGTGATCATGATGCTCTGTCTGATCTGTCATCATAGATTACGCAGAAGATCGCGTAATATATCAATCAATGACCTTCCACCGCAGCAAATAGTTGATGATCAGCGCCATTGCTATCAACATCATGACTTGCTACATCATCAGCATCAAAATCACACATCAACGCACAGTCTTAACCAATATCAATTAGAACAGTCAAGTCTACCGAGTGAAAGTGACGAAGGCGAGGCAGAAGAACCTGAGCCATGTTGCGACCAAGAATCCAGCAGTCCTGATAGTGTGTGATACCAATCAGCCTCTTACTTATTACGTGTAAATTGTTATTATTGTTGTTACATACAGCAAAAAAGAAGAGTCGAGGAAAAGTCTCAAAGAAGAAAATCGGTGCGATGTTTTATCATTATATATGTGTTACAAAACATTATATTGTAAATTTTCTATATGTACACGCGGTATGCATAACTTTTGTGTGTGTATGCGCGCACGCGCTTTTGCGCGTATGTACATTTATATAAACACTATATATAACATTATATAAACACTAAACTGCTAATATATATATTTGTCAGTAAATTCATACAAAGTATTATAATACATTGGTAAAACTGCGTTTGCATTAGTCTCTACGTTATGCAAAGTCTACTGACACAATTTGATAGTATTTAAATTCCCAGCGGAAGTTGAGCAGAATCTGTCATTTCGTAATCTTTTAAATGTAGGATGCCAAGCACTGCATAAGTGTGCAAAGTCAATTCGTCATATTGGAAAATTTTATATATTTTGTTCCGAATGTCGATAAAATTTGTAGTAGACATTGTATGTAGACATTTTTGTTTACAGATTTGACTCTAGATGTATATGTTACAATATTTCACTTAAGTCCTTTGAATATCTTATTTGTTTTTGATAATACTAAAACAGTATTACATAAAAATGTGTTATATATTTCTGGAACAAACAAAAAAATGTTTATCAAATTCATATTTTTTAAGATTTTAAGATTATTGATGTTTCCTTAAATAAGACAGCTGTATCATTACATGTAAACTTATTAGACAAAAATTAATCCATTGGTTATATTCTATGATGATATGATCTTTATGTGCTTTTGAGTATGAAAAAGTAGAGTAGAAATGTATGAGAACAAATAAGTAATGAAATAATCACTATAAGGAGATTAATAAAAGAAAATTTATTTTAATAAATTCTCAAAATAATGCTCATTGTCTTCGATACATTTTTGTAGATAAATAAATGATAAATAAATCTTTAATAAATGATAAATAAATGATAAATAAATAGATCTTCATTATTAGTTGTACCTAATAGATTCATCCGGTAAAGGTGTATATTTGGATGTGTTTCTCAAAGCACAGGTTTGGATATTTTGCATATTTTCTAAAAACAATTTGAACTCCAAATATTTATACATAAGAGAATTTTATCATCTGCTTAAAAGTGATTTAAGTAAAAGGAAAAATGAATATTGGCTATTACAAGAGATAATGTTCCGAAATATCAGAGTCGTTTTTGTGCTGAGTGTAAACAAAGAAAGAGTGATGTTCACATACTAGATTGACCGTTACCAATTGACAATGTACCGGAATAAAAACAATGTTTGGAGCTTAAACTTAGCTTAAACTAAGCTAACTTAGCTTAAACTTAAGATTTAGAAGGTCAAGTTGCTAGATTAATCTGAAGATTTTTACCTCAAGAATATATCACAAAATTAGTGAAAAGTATGCTTCAGAGATGCTAGGTAATTATTAATAATATATAAATATATATAATATAAAATAATATAATAATAAATAAAATAATATATAATATAATAATGGCAGCTTTAAACAATTATTAATAATAAAATAACAAGGTTTTTATCAAGCAGTATGTATGTATTTTTTAAATTTATTACAATAAATATTGTAGTTTTTAAATTATGCCGGGCATGCTTTTATCAAGTACTGTATTAAATAATATAAAAGTTAAATATATAAAAAGTTAATAGATATAATTATTTCAATTTAGGTATATATTGCAGTAAATATTATTTCAGTGTATATAGATTGTCTCAAAAATAGGATAGGAATCACATTAGGGGCGTAGAATGGGTCAAAGGGAATAAAAAAGTCTTATACCATTTTGAGATATTCGATATTTTGAGATATTAATTTTTAAATTAAAAGAGGAAATTCTATTATATCTATTCTATAAATCTATTACATGCAGCGCGGTACGCGATACGCGGTACAGAAATTAACTACCATATAGGAACCGCACAAAATGTGCCGCGTGCTTCTTTTCTCTTCTATTGCATGAAGTACGGTAAGCGGCACGGGCTAGTGATAAATAAATTCACATTACTAAGCTACCACTTTTTAATAGAATTAATTAATTTAAATGCAATTATTAAGTAAATCCGTTGAAAAAATAAGAATAGTGATAAAATGTGCATAGAAATAAGATAATATATTTAAAAAAATTCATATTAAAGTTTATTTGTCACTAACCCGTACCGCACTATATAATAGAAGGGTAAAGAAGGGAAAAGAAGCAAGCGGTACGATTTGTGTGGTTCCTATAGTTAGTTTATGTACCGTGTACCACGTACCGCGCTACATGTAATTTCTCTGAAGGCGCGATGGGCTGTGCTACGAATTCGCGCGACGCGGCTTCATCGCACATTGGCTTAAACGTTTCTTTTTTAATTCGAAAACTACAGTAAATATCTCAAAATGATATAAGATTTTTTTGTTCCCTTTGACTCATTCTACGCCCCCAATGCGGCTCTCAAGACTACTTTTTAATGCATACATTTAATATTTGCAATCAATTTTTAATATTATACTTTATTAAATTTCTAATTTTAATATATATGTTATCTTAAAAATATATTTACCTGAACTAATAAAGAAGAAAGCAATCTTGAAAGATTGAATTTTATAAAATATGTAATAACGTAAACGTAAAGTTAAATTATCTAATAATAATTAGGGAAAGATATATATTAAAAATATATATTTTAAAAAAATCAATAAAAATTATAGCAATAACATCAATAACTCTCATCATTATTTGATTGATAGATTTCTTCCATTTCTTATTATACTTTGTTAAAGAATTAAGGAAAAACTTAAACTATATCCGATTAATTTTAATCATTTTCAAGTGCAGTCCACCTTTTGGTGCTAATATA